TATCACCATCAAATACATTGTTGCTATTATTATTTTGTGCAAACTGTTAAATATTAACTAAAAATTTTAAAAATATAAGCTTTTTTACTTTTACTTATTCCTTATCTAGTGTTCTTTATGTAAAGCTGAGTTTCTGACCTATATCATTTCCCTTCCTCTGCGGAACTTCTTTGACATTCCTTGCAAGGAAGGTGTGCTAGTGACAAATTCCCTCAATTTGTATTTATCTGAGAGAGCACTTCTTTACTTTTAAGGAATAATTTGCGTACAGACTTCTAGGCTAGTCTTTTTCATTCTCTCAACACTTTATTTGTTGTATCCTTTTCTTTTTTAAAAAATATGGTCTATTTATTTTTTATTTTAAAAATAAAAAAGAATTGGGCTGGGAATTTAGCTCAGTGGCATAAGTGCCGGCCTGGCAGGCATGAAGTCATGAGTTTGATCCCCAGTATCAAAAAATAAAAAAATAAAAACAATGATACAGAATTTCAAAACAAAGTAATGGGAGATTAACAATGGTTAACATATTGTGGAGTTATCTTCAACATAGTTGCTTAGGTTGTAAGATATAGGCATGAAAAATTGATCAAACAATGAAAGCACAAAATATTCTTCTTGATGAACTAATAGAGATTAGTAGTATAATTAAATATATACGTTTCCCTTCTCTCTTTTCTTTCCACTATCCCAGTTGTTCTTTCTTTTTGAGCATTTTCTTTGCCTTTCACAATATCTATTATATATTTTGGATCTTATTTATTTTTTCAGCTTTTTACATTAGGGAGAATACATTGTTTACACATGTGAGTGATTTATTTCACATGATTATGGTCTCAGGTTGCATTCATTTACCTACAAAAGTCTTGAGTCAGTCTGTCTTTATAGCTAAGTAGTACTCTACTGTATAAAAATATTGCATCTTTTTTTATCTATCCCAAAGGGCATTTGGGTTGTTTCCAAGATTTAGCTATTATAAGTTGTGCTGCTAGATGGAGACGGCTATCACAAAGAGAATGAGAGATGCGATGGTAGTTGCTATTGTCTTCCCTAATTTGGAACTTGAGGACCTAAAAAGACTCCATCATCCTGTAATGATTTGATTAGTTCTATAATATGCAATAAGTATATAAAGTGGGTGAAGTTAGGGACAACTATTTGTAAGAAGCTAGAGACAGTTAGATAAGGTAGATCTCCAGTGGATTTGCTTTGAAATCTGTATTTCTTTAAATTGTTTTTTATTTTTTTAAAAATGTTCTGTTCTGTTTTGATATGGTTAACCTTACCCTCTTTGAGATGTAAAACAAATAGGTGGGACTGATAATCATATTACGGAGCTTTTGTTCGACCATAGAGCAGAATGGTTTGTAGGGTCACTTTTTTGAATGTCATTCTAAATACTTTAATTCTATAACCTGAACAGCCATTTCGAAGATGACAATTTGTAACTTATCAACCGGCAAATTCTTACCTTTTGTTTGTCTGTAATTTAGTATTATTTCTACCCTTTTTTTTTTTATCTCCATGTATTTTTTTTTCGTTTCCTTTTCTTTAAATAAAAAAAAAAAATAAGTTGTGCTGCTGTAAACAAGGGTGCACATATATTGCTGTGGTATGATGTTTTTAATTCTTCTGGAAAGATACTCAGAAGAGGAATAATTGGGTCGAATGGGACCTCCAATTCTAGTTTTCTGAGGAAACTGCACACTGATTTCCACATTGGTTGTACCAGTCTGCACTCCCACCAACAGTGGAGAAGGATTTCTTTTCCCCACAGCCCCTCCAGCATTTGTTTGGTTGATTTCTTGATGCCAGTCATTCCTTTCAGAGTAAGATGAAATCTCAGTGTTGTTGTAATTTGCATCTCTTGAATGACTAATGATGTTGAACATCTTTTCATAAATTTATTTGCCATTTGTATTTCTTCATCTGAGAAATGTGTATTCATCTCAGATGCCCATTTTTGGATTGGGTCTTTGAATTTGGGGGACCGGATTTTTTTCAGTTCTTTAGATGTTCTAGATATAAGTCCTTTGTCTAAGGGATAGTAAGCTAAATATTTTTCCCATTCTATGAGTTTTCTTTTCATTCTGTTGGTGATTTCTTTTGATATGCAAAAACTTTTTAATAAGATCCCAGTTGTTGATTCTTTGAAAACAGAATAGCTACCCCTGCTTTTTTCTTGGTTCTTGTCACATGGAATATTGTTTTCCATCATTTGAATTTCAGTCTATAAGTTTCCTTTTTAGTTAAATGTATTTCTTGTATACAGCTTATTGTTGGATCTTGTTTCTTGATCCATTCTACCAATCTGTTTCATTTGATTGGTGAATTGAGACCATTTACATTGATGGTTATAACTCATATGTATTGGCTTCACTTTGTCATGTTATTTTCCTGTTTGTACTGGTTTCCTGCTTTTCTACTCTGCTTAACTGCTTGCCCTGCCTGGTGGTTTTTTTCTATTGTTGTTCTTGGAATTGTGGTCATTTTTACCCCTATCTGGAATATCTTTCAGTATTCTTTGTAGTGTTGCTTTTGTGGTCACAAATTTCTTCAATTATTCTTTGTCATGGAAGTATCTGATTTCTGTATTTTAAAAGATAGTTTTGCAAGGTACATTAATCTGGTTTGGAAGATATTTTCTTTCAGGATTTGAAATACTTTACTCCAAAATTTCCTTGACTTGAAGGTTTGTGTTGAGAATTTGGCTGAATGGGCTTTCCTTTATAGCTGATCTGTTTCTTTCCTCTAACAGTTTTTAATACTCTGTTTTTGTGCTGAATTTCTGGAATCTTAATTATTGTATGTCTGGATGTAGATTTATTTTGATTATGGCTGTTTGGAGTTCTTATGCCTCACTTATGTGTATGTTAGATTCTGTTCCCATGCTTGGGAAATTTTCTGCTATCATTCTTGCAAATATTTTTTGTTGTTATTTGTATTGACTCTTGCTTTTTCATTGATACCTAATAGTATTATACTGTCTTTCTCTGCATCATCTTGGCACTGCTGATTTGTTATTTCATAGTCCCTTGTTATTTTTAAGAGAACTTTCCTTGGTAATCACAAGCTACAATCCTGTTTTCAAGGTTTGAAAGTCTGTATTCAGTTTTGTTCAAGCAGTTTTGCCAGCTTTCAGTGCAATTTTTAATTTCCTGGATATATCTTTAAATGTGTTTCATGGTTTCTATTTCTTTCCTATATTGTTTATTCAAGGTTTCCACCATTTTCTTATGCTCCTGTATTTTTTTATCTATGTCTTCTCTAGCTATATAGAAAAAGTCCTTCATTATGGCTGTCATTTCTTTTTTTATCTAAAAGATTACTTCTTATCTGATTTCCTCTATAGCCTTAGGGATTTGTTTCTTCACTTGCTATCTTTTCAGAAATTTCTTTTTATTTTAAAGAGGAAAAAACAAAGCAAAACAAAAAATAACAGGAAAAGAAACAAGACAGACAAACAACAATAATAAAAATCTGAACAGTCACAATATAGGCTTTCAAAACAAGATGGTAGGTTTGCTATTTTGCATAGTTATCTTCAAAAGAGTTACTCAGATAACCAGGTATAGACATGCAATATTGATCTATTCCTATGAGTGTTAACTGTTTTGTTCCAAGAACTATTAAAATTAGTAGAACAATCATCTTATCTATCATAAGTATATATTATATATAAATTTATATCTTTTCCCTTTTCCCTTATTTTATGTTTTTCCCTGAGTTCTTTTTTCCCTTTGAGCAGTTTCTTACCCTTTCACAATATTTACTGAAGATTTTGGGTCTTATTTACTTTTTCAGTTTCTTACACTAAGGAGATAATATGGTATTTACATGTGAGAGTTTGATTCATTTCACTTTTCAGAAATTTCAGGTGTGTATCTTCCAATTTATTCTATGTCAGTGTCTTCTGTAATTGTTCTGGATGGGCTGGAGTCAGAGATTGCACTTTGCTTTCTCATCTTGTCATTTTTATCTCTTGTTTCGTATTTCACTCTTTTCAGTTGTGCTGATCTTGCCTATTGTACATATCAGTCAGAATCCTACTGTGTGGCTGTCGTTCACCCAGTCGCTGGGTCTCATGGTATAGAGGAGGAGCCAGTTACCTGAATTCTTCCAGTGGTGCCAACTGTTGAACCCTGGATTCTTTCAAGGCTGACTAGCCAGGAATATTGATGTGAACCAACCGTTGGCTCATATTGTTACTGCTTCTTCCGACTTTTCCAGGTTACCAGAACCACCATTGTGTGTACCCCAGCCAGGCCCTACTGTATCACTGTGGTCTCCTAGGCCTGCCATGATGCTCCAGATGGAGGGAGGAGTCACCAGCACTCTCACATACCTGCCCAGGATCCTCCAGATAGAGAAGGATGGATCACCAATGCCCTGCAGGCCCTCGGGATGAAGAGAAGGACCACTTTGGCTCTTTGGCCTGCTGGGGTCCTCCAGATGGAGGGAGGGGTCACTGGCACTCTCAAAGGCCCCCCCTGGAGTCCTCTGGATGGAGAGGGTGGTCACCTGTGATCTCTTGTTGTACTCTTTTACTGAGTACATTTTTTGTTTCTAATGAGAAGTTTGTGTAACTATTTTTTCCCATGTGACTTTTTAAAAAGTTTTTTCTTTGTCCTTTTTCCTGCAGTTTAAGCATGACATATTTTAAGTGTCATTTTCATTGCTTTTTTGTAAACTGCCATTTGGATTAGATGATGAATATCTCTGTAAGAGTTTGGACTTGATTTAGTAAGATCATTTTTACTATCATCTATCCTGTTCTCTAGAAAAACTTAGAGTAAATAAAGCAACTTCATTATGACTTACTAATCCAGAAACAATATAATAGCTACATATACAAACAAGAAATGTCTTCATTTATCTCTGGTTTCTCAGATTTTCTTATTTACCAATATAAATGCCTAAATCAAAATGACTTGGCACTGTAAACAATATTTTTTAGACAATGTGATATCAATTAAGAATTGCAATGTTTAAATTTCACACAGAAGGACATGTCATCCTTTGCAGTATTGGCTCTTTCCTGGATTCACCTCATGATGAAAAGGTATGAACTTTAATTTTACCTTCTAAAATGAGTCCACACATACTGATTGAGCATTTCTCTGGGCTACCCACTACAAAAGGTAGAAATACAAGACTCCTTGCTTTCAAGGTACACATATTATTACAGTTTACATTAGATGACACTATCAGTGGTCTATTTGTAAGAAGACAGCTTGAATAAGTGACTGAGATAGAAAAGATGAGAGGAAGTCAGCTACTGATCACTTCACATCTTCTTCCTTAAAAACAAATTATTGATTTATTTGTGTTACATATAAACCCAGAGTTTAAGAAAGTTCATCTAGTCTTCTGTTGTTTATTTTAAACATCTTTATAAGGCATTCCATAACCTTTTCTGGCAAGCCTAATGCAGAATGATTATTTTTGGTAAACTCTTCCTGATACCTAATCTAAAATTTCTTTATAATTCCAGTGCATTTTAAATGAGCTTTTACTACTAAAGCAATATAAATGTCACATCCTTATTTTATAAACATTTAAATAGGAATTTTTACATGTACATAATCTATCTACATGTATTATAAAGACCCAATACTAATTAAAGACCTATTTTAGCAAATCCTTATTTCTCTTCAATACATCAAATACAAAAGCTAAATACTAGCAAAATGGCAAAGTTTTATTTTTGGATCACAAGTATTAATCTAAGAATATACAGAATAGGATTTGATTTTGTGCAGTGACTTATAATGGTTATTTTTTCTAATATTATTTTCTTTGATCAATGGAGCTTTCTTTTTCCTTGAAAAAAATCAATTGTAATTTTTATGAAGTTTGGGTATTGAGCTTTAGTGAAATTATCTGCACCTTGCAAAAGATAAATTAGAACGATTTACCCAGAGTCACACAAAAAGTTAATGTTGAAGTCAGAGTCAAGACCAGGGTTCTTGTTCACAAATCCAATGTTCCTTCTGTAAACAGCATTCACTGTTTCCAAATGAAAAACAAGGTTCAAACAACTTCTGAAATGCCAGCTTTCACTTCCCAATAACTATAAATGATTTATGATCAGAATATTGCTATAAACTAAAAAGAACTATATGTTTGAACAATGAATAGGTGAAAGATTTTCTAATTGTTTTCTCCTATTGGTGATGATTATCAATATTGTATTATTATTTTTTAACAGGTAAAAATAAGATATAAAGCCAACAGTTTTGTAAAAATATCTTCTGTAACATAGCAACCAAAAGCTTTCAAAATTCAGAATCTAAAACTGATGGCTATATAGTTTTAGCAGTAGTAGAAATAATTTCAAAGCATTTTTACCAATTTAAAAGATGATTTACTTTAATTACTTACTTTAAATTCTTCAATATTCAACTTCATTTCAATCTTTCCGATACTTGACATTATGATTATCTAGTTTTTACATGGCTTCCTATTTATACAAAAGAAATTAGTGATGAAGTGGGTCTTTTGTTTGCTTGTTGCTTTTTTAAAACAGAGACTCACTATGTACTTCAGCATGGCCTTGAACTCACTATGTAACCCAAGCTGGCCTCAAATTCACAGTGATCCTCTTGCCTCAACCTCCCCTGTGCTGGGATTACAGGCGTACACCATCACACTCATTATATAATAATGAGTCATTATTATATAGACTCACATATACCAGTGGTCCAGCTATAGATTATAACTGCAATGAAAGCCCAGTATGTCAGTCTATAAATCAGGTTAATCTTGCTCTGTTCCAACATTACTATTAAAAAGGAGGTCTATAGAGTACAGATATTCCAAAACAGGATATTCAGAGCCTGTGCACTAAAATTGCCCAGGTGGTTATATATAGACACATATAGAAAAGACAGTCTTAATTTCTAATAATACATAAAATCAACTTAATGAGTTTCAGCTAAAATTTGTGTAAAAATAGAAAAGAATTGATTGGAATGAAATGCAATAAAATAAACATGTTAACATATCATTACACCTAATTAAGAATCCTCTTGGAAACATTGTTTCAGACACACGCTAGAGAAATTCTTGCCTTACAGAATGCCAATCTTTGCCATGAGTTTAAGACCAGCCTGGGCTATACAATAAGTTCAAGGACAGCCTAAACTGCATAGCAATGCTCTGTCTCAAAAACTGAGAAAGAGAGGGCGAGGCAGAGGGAGAGAGACAGAAAGAGGGAGGGAGAGAGAGAGAAAGAGAGAGAGATCCTAAGGCACAGAAGGAAATCTTGGACAGACAGATATGGTTACATGGCTTTGAAACACCATGAAGTAGGCACATACAGATTTTATCCTGATTCGTTGAAAATAGCCAAGAAACAAAAACAATCATAAGACATATAGGAGATTGTGCTTCACCTTCGTTAAGGTCAAAATTAATAGATCACAGAACCCCAAACTGCCAGGACCTTGTTTATACAAATATCCTAGTCAATGACCTAGGAAGGAATATGGCCTTGCGGTAGGTTTCTTAGCAGTAGAGAGGGTCCCTGCAGAGCAAGCTCCCTGTTAACAGCTTTAGTTTACATGGTTTAGAATGTCTTCTGTAACCTATTGTGGGCTCTAAACTTGAGGATCTCTGAAGGGACACATAAATCAAACCTCATGTTGTTTATGAAAGAAAATCAGCCGACCTTGTTTTCTTTATCAATACCTTGTAGTATGTGCCACCCACCCCACACTCTAAATGAAGAACAAAATAACCAAAGCTTTCTCTAGATAAAATTTGCAAATAAAAAAAGTCTCTGCCAGTTTCCACTTTGGCCTTCACTTGAAGCTCTGCTTCCACTTGTTCCTAATTATATTCATGTTCAGTCTCCCCCAGCCCTTTCTTAAGGCAGCTCTAGTTATTTAATCACCACCTAAATGAATTGCTAATTCTTATTTACATGACAAATTGCTAAAAAGATGAAACACTTTCTCTCCCAGAGATATGTGCAGATTAATAAATCTCTCAAATTAGGACTTTGGGTGGGTACCTCAATAAGCAAGAGAACGACCTGGGAATTGGGAATTACCTAGAGCAGCTGTCTGCACCATCCATTCATAAACACAGCTCCCTAATGAGAAATGATTTTCCTTGAGATTATAATTCTTGACTTATTCCAAGAGTTGTATCTCACTGTTGCTATCTAGAAATTCAGACAGGTGCTCTCGTGGCGTGCTCATTCTTCAGAAATCATTCGAGTGATCTATGTGGAAGACAAGCAATTGGTGCTCACTGCCTCCATCGATGGCTCAGTCAGGTAAGGCAAGACAGTTTCTTACTGTGAACTCCGATTCTGAGTATGACAGGTAAAAGCTTTCACGCTAAAGCTGAAGTAATTGGTTAAAACCCAGTCTTGGTGATCTGATTTTTAAAAAGTGACACTAATGAGAAATCCATCATCAGTCTGGGAGTTTTTTTCCTAAACCCAAGGAAATAAGATGCCATGCTCCTCAATGCTGAAAAGTAATGATAAATATTTTCAATAGGTGGTTTTGAAAGAACTAAATAAGACAGGCAACTTGGAAGCTACCCTCCAACCTAGAAAAGCCATAAGAAAAAGGCTTAGGGTCAGCAGTCACAGAACAGTCACAGAAAACACATCTAGCCAGGCAGGGTGGCATGCCCCTGTGTTCCCAGCTAATCAGGAGGCTGACAAGGGGATCACTAGGACTAGGAGTTTGAGGCTACCTCAAGCCACTTAGTAAAGTGCTGTCAATAAAGAAATAAATACTCAGAAAACAGAAACATAAAAAATAACAATACTGGGAAAATTAAATAATTATTTCACTGATTATGTGGTTGTTTTACAAAGCCTACTTATTTTTAATTACCTAGATAATGCTAAGTACATACTCACAAAGTGCTAAAATCTTACACGCATACATAAAAAGAAAGAAAGAAAATGTCACGACATTTTTAGAGACAGATTGCTGCTTACTTGAAATGCCTTAAATTCAGGGTAATGAATTATGTTCTAAAAAGATTAACAGAGGTAGATTAACAGAGGTAGAGTGATTTCAAGGTATATTAGAGAGTTTAAACATAATATGAATATAAAAGAAAGAATGTTTTATGTTGCATAAAAGCCTCTGAACTAAAATTGAATAGACCCCAGTTAACAATTTGGGCTTGAAGCTAGAAAGTTAGGCAGGAACAAAGTACTGGAACGTCTAGTAGGCAGGGCTAAGGGTTTGTATTTTTACTCTGAAAGAAAAAGTCACTGAAAGATTTCAGACAAAGGAGTAACATTAATTGGTTTATGTTTCTAAGTTTATTTTTTATGATGCTGGGAATCAAATTCAGGGCTTTGCAAGCATTCTCTCACTGAGCTGCATCCCAGCCTTTATAAAGGTTTCTAAACATGAGGTATGGAAAATGAATTGCAGGACAGCAAAAGTGGGAACAAGGAGACCACTTAGAAGTCTATGGTGAATATGGTGCTTTGGATTAGAGGAGAGGTACCAGTGCCAGAGATAAGTGATTTAAATTCAAGAGCTATTTAGGAGATAAAATCAAAAAGACATGAATTTTAACTGAGAGTGAAGGGAAGTATCAAGAATGGTACCTGGAAGACACTTTTAAATGACCATTGGTCTCACTGATTAAGAAAAAAGTTGCTAAAACATTTAGAATGTGGAAGGGTGAAGGAGAACTTCTAGAGAAATTGAGCTCAAGAGGAGGTATTATTTGGCAGTAAGCAGAGATACTTCTGCTGTCAGAAGAGGGACCAATCTTATTTGTAGAAAGATTAAGAACATGCATTTTCATGATTACAAATGTCTTTAACTGGGTCTCTGCTCCAGCTTATTTTTTTTTAAAGGTAAACATTTTTTTTTCATTTTTATCGGTACCAGGGAGTACCGAACCCATGACTGCCTGCTTACAAGGCAGGCGCTTATGCCGCTGAGCTAAATCCCCAGTCCCTCTCCAGCTTATTTTTAACAGGCTATTAGTAGAAATGATAAAGATTGTAATACACATCAAAAAAATGTATAGAGGCCTCTATGATTGTGAATATTCCCCAGTTAGTCTGTTTAGGGTGCTATAATAACGTACTTTAAAGTAGGTAATTTGTAACTACAGTTCTGGAGGCCAAAATTTTCAAGATCAAGGCATCAGCAAATCTCTGCTTCATACACAGACTCTTCCAGCTACATACTTGTGTGTTAGAAAGGATAAACAAACTCCTTCCATCCTCTTTTTAAAGACACTGACATACTTTGAATGTCCCTACCAAAACTCCTGTTGAAATTGAATCCCCCATGAGAAGCAGTAAGAGGCTGGAAAGTTAATATGACTGTGGCATCTGGAGATGAGGCTGCAAGGAAGTAATGAAGTTACATGAGGCCAAGAGGTGGGGTGCAATCCAATGGGGCTGCGTTGTAAGAAGAGAGACTTGAGCTGCAATGCTTCGTCTTGCCCTGTGATGCCCTGTGAGACTTAAGAACTCTGCAGAGAGTCTCCATCAGCAAGAAGAACTTCACCATGTACAACAGCCCAGTCTTTAAAATCTCAGACTTTAGAATCATGAGCTTAACAAACCTTTATGTGCTACCAGCCTGTGGTATTCAGTTATAGCAACAGATAATGTGCTGTTCTCAAGGGTGGACCCCTCAAGACCTCAACACCTCCCAAAGGATCCATATCAGTATAGCCACATTGGGTTAGGTTTCAGTATGTGAACTGAGTAGGAACACAAACATTCAGACCAAAGCAGTGCTCTGGCTATCCTTGGTAAGAAGAAATTACTTTTTGAAATTTCTTTAAGTGGAAACCACCCTAGATATTCAGATAAATAACTTCACTCTACTAATAGCTGCCTTAGACTATATCCCTCTTCATAACCTTTTGCTAACACCAACTACCACTTTCTAAATAGCCAAGCACTTTGATGATGACTTTAACAGGAAATTAATATAATCAAATCTTAATTTCTGGACATAGGACAGAGATCAGTGTAAACATAAAATTTCAAAGAGGCCAGTTAAGGCTCCAGGGGGCTAGCTGTCCATATCCAAGGCCCAAGATACAAGGCTGAGAAGTAGGATCAGTTATTTGAGAAAATGCCACATAGATCAGGAAACACCCTGAAAGAAGAAGACCAAAAGTCACTTTAGTTTAGGTCTAAAATAGAATAAACTTAGAGTTGTTCTGAAGTTAATCCCTCTCAAATTTCTGTGCTTAAAGCACTGATCCTTTTCCCTTTGGTAAGTGCTCTGGAAAGGATGTGGCATTTTTGCAGTTCTAGGGAGCTGACACATGTCAGGGATATAAGATGCTCATGCTAAGTCCTCAAGCCACTCAAATACTCGGAGTCTCATCTGAATACCTCTGCTGTTGCCTTCTCAGTACCCATCTCTTTGACAGAGGATACTACTTGGACCTTGTAGTGTCCACCCTTGTTTTTTTGGCTGGTCTTTCTTCTGGATCACTGCAACAGAGCACATAATTATAGTTTCCAGTATTTGTTCCTCTGAGGTTGCAATCAAGACATAAAAGGAAGATCTTCCAAACACTGTTCTGTCTTTCCATAGGTATAGAGCACATTCTCCTGCTGATGATATGCTATATTATTTTGAACTACATGGGCTACTGAGAGGGACCCCTTGAAGGGAATTGATGGTAAAATGAAAGACACATTTTTTTTTTTTGCCATCCTACATCAGAACTCACCTGTAAAAATTAGTGTGGTGTCTCCAAACTAATAAGAATTGTGGATGGTAGCCTGGCCTATTGGCCAGGCAGAAAAAGCAAGGAAGCGGCGGGGTCTCCCTGTGCGCTGGCAGAGGCCCTGTCAGCTGGGAAGAACCAGCAAGGAAGCTGCCTTCCTCTTCCTCTCCCCCTCCCACCAAAGCAACCAGATGTGCCACAGGCTAAGATGATACTAACTGAAGTAGGGAAGTAACGTGATATTTATGTTGTTTGATTGACTTAGCAGGCCTGGGATCAGTAGTCTGGGCAGCTATTTAGAGGATAACAATATGTAATACAGTAACGATTGTGGATTTCCTACTAGTCTATCACTGTTTTATTTTGTTTCATTTTACTGTTCTGTTTTATTCCCTTTAAAATAAAAATAAAAAATAAAAAGAATTATGGATGGAATTTGAGAGGAGTTTGGTATTACAAAAAGCATCCATATGTCTCTCTTCCCACAGGTTCTAATGATGCTGCTATTATAAGTAGACAGATAGGACATAGCCCGCTCCAGACCTAATTCAAATAATTGACCATTATTAATCAATGTAGCTTCTGATTCGTTTATATTAAGCAGTGTTGTTTTGGGAAAAATCTGTTCTTTGTTTTCTGGCTTTGATAAATAAGTGTCATAAGTATAGCTTCAGACAGACATTTCCCCCCAAATGTTCCTAACTGGTATTCTAAGTGATACAAATGTTTATATAAGAATTACTCCTGAGTACTTAGAAGGAAGTGACATAAGCCCAAGTTTAAAGCCCTTGATAGACCAATGTCATCTGTACAAGATGATCTATGAAGAATCACTTTCCTCGGGTTCCTCATTTATTTCTCCCCTCATTTGTCTTCCCTCCAGGTTGTGGCACGCTTTCAACGGTCATTATTGTGGATATTTTGGACAGCAAAGAATCTTTGATTTATCACAAACAAGAGATTTCATTTTGCCATGTGATGTTACTGAATTTCCTATAGAAATCAAAGAAGAAAGCAAGTTCACAGAGAAGAAGCAAAAATATGAATATCCTCTGATATTTGACCGGGAAAAGTAAGACCATTGGTTTTTCTTCAGATGAACATATAAGAACTAAACTATCATGATATTGTGACTCTGTGCTGGACATGGGAAATTCAAAAGTCAAAAACCCAAAACTTTTCAATAATTTTGCAAACCAGTGAAAGGGAGATATATTTATAAACAGAAAGCTTTATATATTTAGAAATAGTATACTACTACTTCAGGGAACATCTAATTCTTAATAATCATTGAATAAAAAAGTCTTAACCAAGGAAAAATAAAGAAGTGGTTGCCTAAACAAAAGACCAATAATAAGAGGCTATGGTATAGTCTTTGAAGCTTGGAGTCCAAAGGGTATGTAGGAAAGATATGATAGGAGACAAAGCTAGAAAAGTATATACAGGCCGTATCACAATGGGCTTTTTATGGACCAATATAAGAATTTTTAACTTTATGGAATGCACTGTAACAATATACACCAGGAAAGTGAGTGGAAAAGGAAAGATGATGAGTTTGGTTGGAGATTAAGTCTAAGGTGCTTTGGTACCTCTGTAATGAGCACCCTGATGGATGTGTCTGGACTCCTAAAAGAGGTCATAGTATAGACAAAGATTCAGTAGTTATAATAGTAGTACTTTTCACTGTGGATAAGGCATTCTTATTCCATGTGTTGAGTGAGAAAACCATAGAACTATGGAATAAATCCAGAAAGAGCCTCTAAAAAGCAGGTCAAAGAAGAGATACTAATGAAAAGTTTTGAGGAGAAATAGCTAAGACAGTGAGAGAAAAAACTACAAACAAGCAATATAATGGAAATCTAGGAAGGAAAGAGTTGTAAGAGGCAGAAAAATATCCATTCATAGAAGGTGGGAATGGGAAGGTCACATATGATGATAGAAAAGTAAACACTGGTTTTGACATGAAAAGATCACTGACATTACTAAAGAAGGTAATTTCAGTGGCATGATGAGTAGAAATCAGATTGCAATGGCTGAGAACTAAAGAGATATGAGGTAAAGATAGTCTAGAGCACTTTTTAGATTTAAATTATATAGATTTATGAGGTACGGTGTTATAATTCAATATATTTATATAATGTATAATGATCAAATCCGGGTAGTTCAGTTTTCCCTCCTTTAACATTCTCAAAAAGTTTTTGTGAACTAGTACAATCCCTCAGGAAGTCAGTATGGAGATTCCTTTAAAAACTAGAAATAGAAATTCCATTCAATTGGGGTATCTTCCCCCACAGTGCTAAAGACATATTACAGTGATACATACCTTGTTTATATCAGCACAAGTCACCATAGCTAAATCCTGGAAATGGCCTATATGTCCATCTGTTGATGGACATTTGTTAATGAAGGGATAAAGAAAATATGGTACACACAGTGAATGACTTCTCAGCCATAAAGAAGGATAAATTTGAGTCATTTGTAGGAAAGTGGATGCACTTAGAGACAATAATGCTAAGTGAAATAAATCAGACACACAGCATAATTGACTTCTATGAGAAAGCCAAATCAAAATAAAAGATAAATGATAGGAAACAAGGAGTTGGACTTGTTTGCAGATGGAAAGGGGATCTAAAAATAACCCTAACCCTATTGAGACCCCTGCAGTGAGTTCCAATCTTTTGCCAGGCATTAAGGCACATGGCAGGAAGAAAAAGCAAGAGACAAAATTGGGGTGCAACAGGGATCTGGGATGACCAATTGTCTGTAGGGAACAAAAAGCAAAAGGCCATAAGGCACCGAGAACCTTGGTATTTATTTGTTACATCTGAGTCAAGGACAATGGGTGATAGTTCTGGAACAATAATGGAGACTACCTTGGGCTAGTAAGAAAAACAATGCATTTGTGCAAGGGAAAGGACAAGGGTAAGCCGGGGATAATGAGGAAACTGTAGTTTCTCCCGGTGCCTTCTTGTCTTCAGCAGATCTTATCTTGCCCTGTGAGCTCTATAGCAGTCATTAGCCCTAGGGCTTCCAGCTGTGACCAGAAAAGAGCAAAGAGTTTCTGCATTTCCTTCTGGCTCAAAGGGCATGACAAGGACAGTTTTGGACGTCCCCTAGACTCAATTTATAATTTATGATGTCCAACAAGAACCAACAAGGGTAATTTCCATAGAGGAAGCATTAGAGAAGGCTTCAATGATAAAAGTCCTTTAGAGGAATCCTAAATGAATCAAAACTTGGGAGACCCACTGGCATTACCTAATACAAAGGATAACTAAAAAGTCCAAAAATAGGAATTAAAGCTAAGAATCAGAAATCACTCAGAATTCAGATCAAGATCCAAACAATTTGGGAACTGTAGGGGGCTGCCAAAATACCATGAGCGTAATCAAAGCTTGCATCAGCCCGCACTGGAGAGGAGGGCAGGCTAACACATAAGAGGAGGTATAGTGCAATACAAGATTTAGCAAGTCATGGTAGAGTTCATCAAGCAAAGTTGCTCATCCCTGTCTTTGGGACATTTGCTTAGTCTTAATATCCACACATTTTAGTACTTAAGACTAGGCAATAAGCCTTGTCATTCATGATTATCTCTTTCCCTATATTGTGAGTTTTTAAAGAAAGTAGGATCTTATTTTATATCTCTTGGTATCCTCCCTAGTTCTTAGCCAGTACCCAGGAGGAATCAAAAGACATTTGTGGAATAAATAAAGAGGGATTAATAGAGAACACGATCAGCAGAGTAATAAATGCAGATGGGATGTGGAAGTATGAAAGGGTATGGTATGTTTGAGATCATTTAAATGTAGTATATACACTGACATTGTGATTTTACTAAATGATTTTACTTGCATGTAGCAAAATGAGCCTTGTCTTAGGGTGACTCCATTTCAGGACACAGTATTATCTTTTAGAAATGATTTTAGAACTTAGTTATGACTTTGTAAATATATATAGAAGTGAGTTTTTACTATATATATAGAAGTAAGTTTTTACATCACACAAAAGTAGAGCATTGAATTTATAAAAATAACTATTGATGAATACAATTACATGAAATGCTTATCCAGAATAGAAATCATCATGGTTTCCCTAGAGAGAGATCTGGGAAGGTAATTGGGTAAAATTTAAATGCAGCAGAATCATCACTGCACTGGTGCCACATGCACAAGGGAATTTTGGAGACAGAAAGGTGTTATAACGTGGGCCCCGGTATAAAGTCCACGGAAACAAGAGTCCAAAACTTAAGTGGCAAAGGCTTTATTGAGCCAGTCCTGGCGGCACAGTCTCTCCTAGATCAAACCAAAGACTGCGCGCCCAAGACTGGGGAAAGGGGTTTTTAAAAGTAAGGGAAAGTGGGGAGGAAACCTGTAAGGCCATTAAACCTGTTGACCCGCATCTGGAAACTGTATTGCTGTCCACTTAGCTCTCACAGTCCCGGGAGTTCCTGGTGTTGCTCAAATTACTCCCATCCTGCAGACTGACATTATCTTAGAGTGGCACATCTGCAGCAATATTTGGGGAAGAAAGTGGAGAGTTAATTATCCCAGGACAGCTTGTCTTCGCCAGTGAGTGCGAAGGGGTCACGAGTTATGAGATGCTGGAACTTAAGTTTTACAAAGATCTGATATCTAACCCATTGGTACATACAGAACAAAAGGAAAGCACCGATCGGGGTTTGGGCCACAGTATTTCCCGGTAATTTCTTTGAAGCTAAACAGTTCTTAAAATTGGGGCAGGCTCATTTTATGACAGATCATCACCAGGTCGGGGAGAGGTCACCAGAAACCCAAATTCTTTATGGCCCAGATAGGTGGGTGGGGGGAGGCAATAAGGCGCGCTACAGAACAGGAAAACGGCGAGTATCTATCTTGTGGGAAGAGTAACTAAGGTTAGGTAAAAAGGTTAAACTCATGGGCAAATCTCCCTGCATATAAACACACTACTTCAAACAATGTGTAAATTAGTGGGCCTTCTTGTCTTCTTTAGTTCTTTAGCGAAGACTAGAGGCGCCTACCCGTGATTAACAGCCCTTGTTAGCTTGTTTTAGCACCACTCTTCTTGTTTGTAGAGGGCCGCTCCGTGATTAACATTTCAATTAAGTGAAATTCTTGCAATTCTTTACAGGGGAGAGTATTGCTCAACATATCAATTGGGTCACTTAACATATCAGTTAAGAAAAGAAAACATTTAGTAAGCCGCGGTACAGGTTTGCTATAATACACAAAATGATGAAGCTACTTTCTTAGAGTACAACATTCCCCTCTGATGTTGTGACTTCTGGGCCAAATCCTTGGCCGTACTTAAGGTCTGCTGGGGACAAGCTCATACGCTTGTTGCCTGACCATCATTAATTTTATACTTTGTACCTGACGCTTGACATATGCAGTCAGCCTATTTACTATGCAGGGGCCCAAAGTGGCTAGCACTAGAATCACAATGATAGGACCGGCTACGGTCGCTATTATGTTGGTTATCTACGGTGGGAAGGAGAACATTTGCTCCGCCCACCCTAGAGCTCCTTGTCTTAGTCTCTCTCTTTTTTGTATGCCTCTTTGGAGTTCCGCTAAGTTTTGTCTAACTACCCCAGACTTATTGGCGTACAAGCAGCATTGCTCTCCCAGGGCCAAGCACAGTCCTCCTTTTTCAGCAAGCAAGAGGTCTAGTCCTCTGCGATTTTGGAGAGCTACTTCAGCTAATGAGTCCATTGAACTCTCTAAGGCCTCAATAGCATTTTGGACTCTTTTTATTTTTTTATCTACCTGTTGAGATAGCATATTGTATTGGTGTATGCTAACTCCCATGGACGCAGCACTCATCCCGAGGGCTGAGAATACACTGATCCCAGCCATAATAGGGAGGGCTGGACTTCTCTTATTGATCTGGTGACTGGCTGAGATGAGAGCCCGGTTCCCTTCTTCCTCGGAGTGCCAGTAGATTCTAGGCAGAACCTGGGTGAGTATACACACCTCATCCTGGTCAACAACGAACTTTTTTGAAATCATACAAGGGAACCATCCTGAAGTACAAGCCCACCAATGGCTGGCCGGGGCTATTAGGGGAGTAGCGTCA